TTTACTCATGCAATAACTACTTCAGGTGCCTTTTTCAACAGTAATGATTATTTTTTCTGTAGATAGTACATATTACTCTGATAAACATAATACAAATATTGAAGTTTTCCATTTAGATTTGACTAATCTATTGAATTTTTCAAATATTTACTTTCACGAGAAAATCCCAAAAAGATGGGGGTTTTACAATATTTTTCCATATCTATGAGTGACTTCGTTGAAAACTTCTATGAAAAGGGTCGAGTCAAATATCGGAAATTCGATTTTTCTAAAACCTTATGACGCTAGAAGACCTTGTCAGAGGAGATATTCGAAAAATTTGATACCTTCTCAGAGAGAAAAAAAACACGTTAAAATGGGTTCAAGTTTTAAACGAAATAAAAATCGAAAAAAGTTGCAATTTTTACCATTTTTGTTTTCATTAAAATTCAGCAGTGTTTTTATGCGTTATTTTTTGTATGTTATTGTTATCTTTGCCATCATTTACACTCTTTAAAAAGAGTTTAATCACTTAATGTAACACAGTTGAATGTTCATCTAGTTTCGTCAATTGCATATAGAACAGTCAGAATATTTCTTTATTTAATAAATAAATTTCATTGAAATAATCTAATAAAGTACTTTGAATTTATTTTGGCGTGAAAATTATCCTGAATTCCTTTCTAGTCTCAATTCCATATAGAAATATGTTGTCAATCATGCGGTTTTTCTTCAAATGATTTTATTAAATCTTATTTGATTGGTTATTTAATACATCCGAAAACCAATCTTCAACATCACAATTAAAAGAAACAAATTGTTTACATGCTGATGAACAACTTGTTAAATTATTCAAATCTGTTAATGATGAAAATAGAGCAGTAAACGATTCACATATAATAACATATATTCAAAAGGTTTATTCTTTTATTTTTCATAATTTATTTTCTTTTCTTTTTTTTTTGTTTTGTTTTGTTGTAATATAAATAGCATATGGATGCAAATGAAAAATTTTATATTCGAAATATTGTTTTATCTTATTTGGAAGCATGTTTAATTAATCGTGACCCACAAACAGTGACGTATCCAGGATTTTTCAATATGTTGAATCTCGATTTCTGAGCATGGAATCCAGATAAAACTCATGGAGGATGGTGTTGGATCTAAATGATGGAATTTTATCAAAAAACATTTGCACTCGGAGTTTGCGAAAAAAAATTAGCATTTTCCTGATCCCCCTCCTCTAAGATTTTTTGCTCTTAGGAGTATCATGATTTTTAGAATTTCATAGGAAGCTACACCGAATTTCATCGACAGATTTCAAATCTCGTCAAAAAATATGCAATCATTCCACAGTTATGACATTTTGAAATTATGGAAAAATTGTTTTCACATGTAGCAAAAATTCAAAACGTCATAACTGTGGAACGGTTACATACTTTTAGGCGAACTTTGAAATCTGTCGATGAAATTCGGTGTAGCTTCCTATGAAATTCTAAAAACCATGATACTCCTAAGAGCAAAAAATTTTAGAGGAGGGGGATCAGGAAAATGCTAATTTTTTTCGCAAACTCCGGGTGCAAATTTTTTTTGATAAAATTCCATCATTTAGATCCAACACCATCCTCCATCAGTTTTATCTGGATCCCATGCTCAGAAATCGAGATTCAACATATTGAAAAATCCTGGATACGTCACTGCCCACAAAAGAAAATTCAAGAAGATATTGCAAAAAAAAAACGAATGACTGTACTTAATGCTATTATTCAACATAAAATAGAAACAGAAATTCAAGCTGTTTATGCTATTCAATATTTTATTAATAAACTTGAACATCCACCAAGTATGTTCAAAAATAAATTTTAACACTAAAATTAATGAATATTATAGAACTGACTCTACTACTATTCGATATATTCTATGATGAAGAATGTGTCAGTGAAGATGCTTTTTTTTTCAATGGCTTAAACATCCAGATCAATCTGATATTGAAGGTTAAATAAAAGTTTTCATGAAAGAAAAATAATAATAAATAAAATATATTGTTTAGGACGTGCGATTATTGAAATGTCAACAAAAGATTTTTTTTCGTTGGTTAGAACAAGCTAAAACAGACCTGTTAGAAGACAAAGACGAAGACGAAGAAGAAGAAAGAAATTGAATTCGTATCATCCAGCAAAGAAGAAAAGAGTAGCCAAATATACCTGTTTTATTATTTCTTTATTGTTATTTCTCATTCTATTTATTTATTTTTCTATAATATATTGAAAATACCTTATATCTGTATATAAGGCATGCGATTGATCATCGATTGTCTTCTCTTCTCCTCTTATTTCAATGTGAAAAAGTTTTCTTCTCTCTGTAACTGCTTTGTTAAATGGGAAAAAGGATTTTTGATCATATTGAAAATGGATAGTTGTTATTACATCTATTCACCTTTGAAAAATTTGGAAGCGACTAGCCGACCTGTGAAAACGTTTATTACATAAAAACGGTAGTGTAAGACAATTAGTATACGAAAATTGCATACTGACTAGTTCAGTATGATTGAAATTGTCTCTATTACTTGTGAAGCACTGAAAATTTTCTAAAAGCAAAACAAAATTAAGAATTTCTGAAAAGGGAAAACATTTTCTGAAATTTGTAGTTGGTGCAAAACTTCTGCTCTACATTTTTTCGTTTTTGTCTGCTCAAAAAAGCTTTAACATAATATAGCAGGGATCTATGACTGTCTTTGCATGAGTCTACTGCCACATAAGCATATATTGTCCTAAATCAAGAGAGATTATTGCTATGAATTAAATTACAGTACAATCTGTGACTATTTACAATGTTTTCACTATGACAACTGCAGTCATATGTTTTATTGTGATCATATCCTTTCAGTAGATGTATTAATATGACTTTAACGTTGTATTACCCTATTTCTTAATGATTCTAATATTTTTGCTAGGTTAATTAATTAACACGAAGTATCTTTTGTTATTAAGTTAATTAAATAAAATCTTACTTCTAAAAGCAGTAAGCTTTCATAAAGACGATGCTTAAATCAGACATGTAGATCTGTTTCTTCATACGAGTGGCCATCCGGTAGCGATTTAACTATTGTAATATTTAGATTTAGAGTCTTTCGAAGATGAAATTGGAAAAGATGAGACACATTTTTATGTAATGCAGCAACATTCATATTCTTTTTATGTTATACTAAGGATAATAGAGAATCGAACATCTACTTAGTACTCATATATGAAAAAGAAGTAAACAATTTCTTTAAATTCTCCTGCTAATGCCTTTTAATTAATTCTGAAAAATACATACGTATAATATTTCACATCTTTCTATAGGCTTATATGTGTAGTTTACTTTTTGAAATATAAAATAATATTCTTTGAAGTATATGGAAGACAAAGTTAAAACTCTGTTTTTTGTTTTCTTCAACTATACTTAATGATTTTATTTTGGATTAAGAGTAATACGCTATTGACTTTTGTTGTTTTACTTTGTTTTCTTTTTTTTATATTTGTATAAATAATTTTCTTGATTTAAAATGTTATTTTTATAATGAATCACAAAAAATTTGAAACTTAATAACGAAAATCAATTGGACTATTTCTTCTTTTACAATTTATTATAGCAGCAACATGATTTGGTCTTCTCTATAAGAACAATGATACACATATTTTTATCTTGAAAAACTAAATAGAATAAGCTTTACAATTCTCAAAAGTTTTACAAAGATTACCGTGTTTTATGCAGCTGTGTTATATTGTCTTTTGAAGATATATTGAGTTTTATATTTTCAATCGAAACAAACGAGTTGAGTTCATTGAAATTTTTCGGTAATTCAAGTTTCAAAAATACACTTTTTAACTTAAGATCTCCTATAGGAGATAAACTTTTGGTATATATAGAGCAATATTTTCTAGCAATCAATGACATCATTCTTACATTTCTTTTATATGTATGTCCTGTTGAAGATATTCTTTAATAATTTGAATGCTTTATCACAAATCAAAATCTAAAGACTAAAATGAGAAAATTTCAAAGAATTTGTTAGTAAGATGATTCTCTATGATATATTGTTCTTTTTAATGTTCTTTAATGAAATCTAATGGCTATATCTAATTTATATAGTCTAATTTTGTTAAGTCAACTTATTTTAATAACTTTATTAATATTATTCTCATCTTTATATACAATACTAAATATTAGATACTAATTATCTGGAGACATTGCGGCAGTAAATATCTCTATTAAAAACAATATATAAACAAAATCTTTATCTTTAGTGAACTGTGAATGGTCGTTGTATGACTTGTTGAAGAACTGGAGAGCAACTCTCATTTGTTGTATACATCTCCGATGTATATCACACAAATTTAGAAAATTTTCATTGTATTTTTGTCAAGTCAAAAACTGCTTATTTAGAAAAAGAGAAAACATCATAAAGTAAATAAAGTTAATTTCATATTATATACTTTCAAAACAATTTTTTATTGAGTTTTTTTATTTGACATTTATTATACTTTGACACATTTATTTCCTATTTTGTTTTCATATTTTATTTTAAAAATCATTGTTCTCTAAGACTCATCATTGTTCAAATAGTAGCATGAACTAATCAATATTAACTATTATTAGAATGAATCTTCATAATTTATATTCTAGTATTTATCTTTACTTTTTTTTAACAAGAAAATGAAAAAAGAAATCTTAATAAATGAAGTAACCCTATTTAAGGATATATATAGATGCTATTCGAAAAGAGAGAATCTTATTGAAAGATGAATTAATCATTAAGATTTCTTCATATTCAATCAGATTCGATAAAAAATAAAACAAGTCATTTTTTTTCTCTATCAAAATAATGTTCTTTATATTTATTAATCAAAAATAAGTAGTACAAGATTCAAAAAAAAAATAACAAGAAACAGAAAATATAATAATAATGAAACAAAAAAAAATATGACTAATTAATTATTATCTATGAGTTAAATGAATCACTTTGACTTTTACGTATATTAGAACAGTACTTTAATACGATTCTTGATAGTTTCAAAATCTGATAAATTGTCGATTAAATTTAATAAACCATTATAATTTTTATTCTTCTCTTTTACAACAAACCAAAATTCATATGAGGCAGCAGCTCTTACTACAAGCGATAAATTTTTCAATAACTTGAAATTATTTGCAATCTTTTCATCCTTCATATACATTATAACATTTAATGCACATGTTAGATCAAACGTTCTTTCATATTTATATGTACGAATGATTGCCGCATTATGTATTGCTTGTAAATAAAGTTCCAGAAATTTTAGACCAGCATATAAAACAACATCTTCAATTCCTAATTCTTTTGTATTTTCATTATTTTCCAATGTTGTAGCGAAACCGAAATCAATCAATTTTAAATGTTTACCTGTTTCATCGAACATAAGGTTTTGTGGTTGTATATCTCGATGAATGATACCACATTTATATAAATGTTCAATGATGCTAATAAGTTGTTCTGCTTGATGTAAATTTATTGATGTTAAAGATATCAATTGATTTTCAACTAATATGAATTTACCTAAAAAGAAAATCAAAATATATTATGAACAAGATAAAATATTATTTGAATGATGCTGACAAAAAAAAAATGTTGAACAAAAAACAAAATATTTTTTATTATTTTAATAAATAAGAATCTAATTTCAATTAAATGATTTATTTTGATTATTTCATGATTTAAAACAATTCATAATTTAGATTTTAGAGTTTTTCTATTGAAATTTCGGAAATGTTTTCTTTAATTAGAGTTAAAAAATATAAAACAAATAAGAAATATCTTTCAAGATATAACTAACAATAATCGAAGGACATTCTATTGAACTTTAATCATAAAAATTTTCTAATTTTGATTGATTTATTTTTAATTGATCTAGAGATTTGACTTATTTTAATACTTTATTTAACATAAATTAAGAATTTTTTCTATGTTAAACAATTTATTATTGTTATTATAGAATAAAATATAATGTATTAATTCTTATTGATTCAATTATCTATTTCAATTCATTTACTTAGCATATTAACTTAATAAAAATAAGCAATCAATTATTAACAAACTTATTATTATTTTTTTTTATTTGAACAGTCTTTTATATAATTTATCTAAATTCATATTCAAAATATTAGAATAAATCTTATGAATTTCATTTATTTCAAATTTAATACATTAAACAAAACAATTTTGAAATTCAATCTTAATTTTTCGAAATGCTTAATAAAATATTCGAGAAAATCTTTGTTCAATAATTTATATTTGAATTTTTCTATTAATTATTGAAAAATTCCAAGAAATTATTTGGTCTCTTCATTCATAAATAAAAGAAAAACATTTTCTAATCTTGAAAAAAAAAACAAAGAATCAAATCATATTCATTTGACGTATGATAAATATATTCAGTATTTTTTCTTGTTTCTAATCTAATCAAACCTTCAGCAATTTATGCATATAAATGTAATAATGAAAAAAAAAAAGAAAAATTTTATTTTATCATATTATATTAGAATTTCGATTAAAATCTTTTCATTTCAATTTTTATATTTTGTTTACATAGAAATAAATCTGAACTTACATGTAGTTTTCTTTTCTGCTAATTATTATTATTTATAAAAATCTTTAAAAAAAACCATTAACATTAGAAAATGTTATTTTCAATTATTTTTTAAATTTAGATCTCGATTTTGTTTTTCGAATTCTTTTTTTTTTTTATAAAATTAATAAAAAGAAAAATAAATACATAATTCATAGTAGATTTTGATCTTATAAAAGAAAAATTAATTTTTTAATTATTCATTTATTCTAATATCTATTTGTATTTCTTTTATTCTTATTCTTATTCAAATAAATTCGATTGAAATTTTTCTTTAATTATACTTTGTATAAATTCTTTGAAAATCAAACAAAATTTTCTCTATTCTCTTTCTGTTAGTAGATTTTCAATTAATTGAAAAAATTCTAGAAAACGCAATCAATTTTTTCAATAGAAAAATATTACCTTCAGGTGACGATTTTATAATATTTGAAAAAAATAAATTAAAATTATTTGAATTTGTCAATTCTTTTAATTGTTGTAATATTTTTATTTCGTTCATAAAAATTCTTTCATAGCTCGCAGCTTTAGAAATTTTCATTACACGAGATATTCGGGTAGCAGCTGGTTGATCATCATCTTGATTAACTAATAGATAGGCGATTGAAGTAACACCTATTCCTAATCTTTGTTTTATATGAAATTCATCACCATATAAATCATCATCAGGATTTATATTTAAGATTGTATATTGATAAAAGTCAGGATTCATTGTTAAAAACTTTATAAATATTTCTATTGTATCTTTATTAAGACATAGTTTTGATTGTTTTTTTTTGATTTTTGTTTCTTAGCAGTCGATGTTAATTCAGATGAAATATAAAACATTTCTAATATATCACTTTGGTAATAGCTATAGAAAGGCTGTTTTGTTTGTTTTATAACACAATAAAATCTTATAGATCGAAGATTTGTTATAAAGCCATAGATTTTTTGACGATTTTGCACATCTAATACATCAGCCAAATAATGGCATAATTGTCCAATATGATCGGATGAATCAATACACTCACTTGATGATTTTAGTTCACCAAGACAAATAACAAAATCTTGTAAACATGCATATTCTGCACCAATATTAATATTTTTATATATAAAAGTACAATTAGGACGTAGTCTCTGTTTTAGATATTTATGTTGAGTTGTGTTTAAATATTTTAATGATGTTAAATTCTTAAATTTATCAAATAATTTATGCATTAAATTATCCATTGCAAATTGAATTTCATTTTCTGACATATTAATATCTGACTCGAATTGATCAAAATAATTTTCAAAAATCTTGACCATATCATTATCAATATTTTTTTCATTATTTAATAAAGGTTTAATATCGAACTGACTTAAATTTTTTACTACATACAGGTTGTAATAAGCCAAACCATCTAATACTGAACTCAAAAGATCATTTGATATAGATATCATTTGTTTACCATCTGTCGTGAGTCGCTTTTGTGCTTGAATATCTTCTTCTTGGTTTTTTCTTTTGAGTTCAAGTTGTAATATTTTTCTTTTTTTCTTCTAGTTGTTTTAATTTTTTTTCTTCGATATTTTCATCTATTCTTTTTTGTTTTGTGATTTCTTTTTCTTTAGCTAGTTCTAATTCTGCGAGTCGTATTCGTTTGTCTAGATCACTTATTGGAGTCTTAAATTGTTCATCCATTAATCTTCTAATCGCGTAATCGAGATTCAAAATTTATCTATAAAAAAAAAGAAAATTATTCTATGATAAAAATATGAAAATGAAAATGAATATTGATAATGATAAACATTTGATTTATATTTGTTTAGAAACAAAGGCATCATTATGTAACATAGACATATAGTTAATGCTCTCGTTAGAGAAAATACGAAGAGAGAGAGCTCAATGATGATTGAAATAATCAATTCTTTTATAGAATAGATGCTTTAAATCAAAAATAGAAAATTATCATTATAAATTCGTAGTATTATCTCGAATATTTTTTTCGTAAAATATTCGAGATTTAATAGATTAAATTCAAATAAATGATAATCTATTCTATTATACTTTGATATTCTTGATTCGAGCTTAGTCTCATGATGAAAGAATAGATTAATTCATAGATATTATAGAAATGAATACAAGACGAGAAAAATTGTTTTTTCTATTTTTTAAGCTTTGGGCTTATCTTCAAATAAAACATGTTTGCTTATTCGATTTTTTCAGTAACGAACAAAGGAAAACATTATATCTCAATTCTTTATTATTGTTTTGTTGATTTAGAGAGTCTAGAATTGAAATATTTCTTAAGTAAAAGAAATAGGAGAAACGAAGTAAATTAAATATGAACTAGACAAATAAAATGAGTATATTTTATTATGGGATTGTAATTAGTGAAATCAAAAAAATAACTCGAGAATATATTTGAAGATATTTTCTAAATTATCATAAAGTATTGCTTACGTATGATGAGATTTTAATGCTATAATGTATTATTGGTTAGTTTTGTTTGAGTTAGAATTCTTCATTAGAATCTAAATTAGAAGAAAAATAAAGTGTAGAATGTGATAACAATTGAAATTTTAAATGCTCAAAAGTTTTCTATTTAATATGAATATCTATTTTACTTATAAAATAGATTAATGATTGTTTTCTATTAGAATTTAATTGATAACAATAAATAATATCTGGAAAAAAATGAAAATTTTTTTTGTATTGTGTCAATAAATTATCAAATCAATTACTAATTCGAATTCTACCTTAATTTATTGTTATTGTTGTTTATTGTTGATATTAATTTATAAATTCACTATCTAAATATCATATTATTTCGAATGTTTATACAAATTGAAGGAAAGAATTTAATCTATGTTTAATATTGGATGGTTGCTATTGATTCTATAGGAGATATAACATCATTTTTGCTAATGGAATGAGAAAGAATTGTTGAATTTCTTCGGAAAAATTCGAAAACTTTACCAGCATTGAAGATTCGTCACGATTTCAACAGTCATTGACCGGACTAGGCATTAATGAAACTTTTTTATATGGATATAATTAATTAAATTAGGGATTGTATCAAGAATATTCAAGGATTTTCATAGCTTCAATAATTCACATTCGGACTAGTTCTACTGATTACCAATCTCTTAAGCATTTTTAAGAATTTTAAATAAAATATTTTAGAATAGATAAGAATTAAGTTTGATTTGATAATTTTAGGACTTTTTCATTTCTTGAAAAAAATTATTTAAGATTCAAATTTGTTTTTTTTTGTTTTATTTAAATTCAAGTAAATTCAATTTTGAATAATTTAACTTGATGAAATAGAATAATAAAGTTGATCTATACGGTTCGAGTTCTTTTTTCATAAGTTTCATGTATTCGAACGGTAAAAATATAAATATATAACATGAAAAATTGATTTATTAATTGTAGTGAGTGTATGTTGCTTCATGCAGATGTAGAGAATAAAGAATAACATGAACAATCGACGACAATCATTTTTTTTCAAATAAACAAATAAAAGAAAAAAATAAGATTATCGTAAATTAAATTTGATAATATCCTTAGTTTACACAAAACTATTGAGAGCAGAAGAACGATGTTCATTGATCAAAACGGTCGGATGATTGCGAGCAGGCCCCACGATGTGCCGGGGGCTGCCGGGGGCTAGCCCCCGGCATTTTTTTAAGCGTGTCTGCGAAAATTTTTAATACTGTCTGGCAAAAATGTGTAATATAGTCTGCGAAATTTAATTTTACGGCTGCAGTCGACTGGTCACGTGATAATATGAGCGGTGAAAAATTTTTGTGTTGACACAATTTTTCCCGAAGATTTTACTGAGTCCTGGAGGGGGGTAGAGGTATCTTCGTCGCGCTACCCCCCCCCCCCCCCCCCCCCCCCCCGGTCATCACTTTTAATGAAAAATTGGGAAGTCCCCAAAAAAATAAGTGACTGTCTGCCAAGTTTTTGTGAACTGTCTGGCAAAAGAAAAAAAAACTTTAGCCCCCGCCACTCTCAAAAACAATCGAGAGCCCTGATTGCGAGCAAAAGTGTACCACTCATAGATTAGATGGTAGCTCGCTAGATGTGATTATGTACGAATTTGTTGGTGATAATGTATCAAACAGTGAAGTCATCAAACTAAAAAAGAGGTTCTTAACTAACTACAATCCCTTGTTATCGCTTTTTGGAGCGGAATCCATTTCGGTTCTCACGGTATAAGGACAACGCGATGAACCGACCCGACGAATTGTAATATACGAAATGTTCTTCTAGTCTTTACACCCTATAACAGATCTATCTAAACATGGTTCCGATAAAATGATTTAAGCTTTCAGATCTGTTGAAGGTGAGTATGAATTACTGCGTGTCTATAACTAGAATCCTCTGGAGTGTTATCAGACAGCTTTAAAGTTAGGGTGTGGGTGGGGTGTGGGTGAGGGTGGGTGTGGGCGTGAGTGTGGGTGTGTAGGTGTGGGTGTTGGTTTGGATGAAGAAAGAAGACCCACACCCACACCCCAAATAAAACTAGAGTGTGTGTGAACAGGTGTGGATTTTGGTCTTCTCACTGATATATCCACATCTACATCGCCGCTCACCCACACCCACCCTCGTTTCGAACTTATTATTTGTTGCTATAGCTTTTAACAGATCTTGTTGAGATATTATAGATTTATAAAAATTATTGCGTGGAATATTTGAATTTTTTCGAATTTTCAACTCAGCCGCAACTAATTGAATATCCATACGATTGCGATAATTGGTCCATAAATGATTCATTTGACTAAATATAGATTTAACATGTGGATTACTATATGGAATAGAGAAAAAACGTAATATATAATTGTTTGAATATTCGATGTTGCATCTTTAAGATTTATTAAATATGACCATAACTGATCAGAATGAATGTTTTCGTCTGTGTCTTTTTTATCATGTAATAAAAAATCTTCATTATCACTGTCATCACATAAACAACTTCCTTCGTTGTATGCTGTTGATTATGCATTATGAGCATTTTTATTTGAAATACATGATTTTATTATTTATTCCATATCACGTTTTTATTTTTCAAATTATTGTACATAAATTTTAGTTCACAATATTCATTATATAGTTCGTTTTTATTTGAATCATCAATCTTGATCAGATCAAGAACGTTCATAACATATTTCCATATGAGAAATCAAGCAGAATGGCAATCAAAAACCAATAATTTTTCATGGAAATTGCGATCTTTATCAGAATATGAATTACTGTATTCAATAGTAACTTTGATGAATGATTCAAATGATTGTTGTAATTCTTCAGCTTTATTCTTATCAGAATCTTTAAATAATTGAGTATTGTATGTGATTTATTGCCAAAATAATGATCATCCAGTCGTTGCTCAAATTTTTTAAATTAAATCAGAAATAATTCGATAAAGGTCAACAGCTGTTATATGTTCATCTGAGTAAATAGCGAAGTAAAAAGTGAAATTCGGAAAAAATTCGGAAAAGAATCCTGATTCGGAAGAATTCGGAAATTCGGAGCGCCGTCGGAAAAAAGTCAAAATTCGGAATTTTTCCTGTCATTTCGGGAGATCTGGTAACCCTGACCCACACCCACATCCAACGACAACGTTCAGTTGAGTGTCATTGTTAAAATCCCCAACGACTACAAACTGTGGTCTAGAACCAGTTGAGGGTTTTGATTTTTTCATCTGAGCTGTGACATCTGACGCCAAAAAACTTTATGGTGAAGCGCAGTTTTGTGCTACTATGCTGACACATGAAATTTATTATGTAAAGATAAGACTATAGCAATAGTTTTTGTGGAGAAGAATTACTTATCTTTGTTACTTGTGGGAGAGTGATAAAACGAACATAAAGCAGTTTCAAACAATAACTTGTTCTTTTTTTAAGTTTAAATTTTTTGAGGAACATAGTATGCATAATAACCAAGCTTACATAGAGTTCGGCACTAAAAATATTGACTCACATAAATGGTGGCATCATCGTTGGGCTAAGATTATTTTTATCTCTTTTATTGTTCTAACAATACTTGCAGTTACCCTCTCTCTAGTGTTAAAATTCGCCGTTTTTCGACCGAAAAAATCAGAAATCACGACTACCACTACAACACCACCGTTAACAACAACAGCACCAACATCATTAGCATCATCATCAACGATACCTACGACCACAACTCAGCAGTCTAGTAAGCTTTAGAGTAACGGTCATTAACTTCGTTAAATCCCAGTTTTGAATCAGGTAGAACCAAGAGATACCTGCTAATTTTATTAGATTTTAATATTACGATCCGATCATATCCTACAGTAATATGCCGTTAGTGCATGATAGAGCACTACGAGTACTGACGACAACTTAAAAAAAGACTATGCGATTACTTAACTTGCTAATATCAAACAGCTCTACAGTCGAAGCTTGTCAAATACCACTGCTGAATTCCATGAATATTTTAAGCCGATGATTTTTGCCTTCAAATTCGACAGGATCCCTCCGAAAACGACGTGTCTTCTGGCGTAGTTCTGCTCAGTTTCTGCGAGAAGATCAGTGAAATCAGCCAGTAGTGTGCCAAAGAAAACGCTCTTTCCGGTAGGTTTCCAAAGCCAATGTCATTTTCTTATGCATTTGAGCACGTATATAGGTGCACATTGCACTAATTGCTTTGGTAAATAAGAACCAATTTATTTCTTACAGTATCAATCATAATACACAGAATGATCATTGAAGACTTTCAGAATACTAAAACGCTAGTTTTGTAGCAGCTACAATGGGAAAATAAAATTTTGCTCACATTACATGGGATGATACCGCAAATTATTCTTTACGAAACAAGACCTTCCAGAGCTCTCTACGACGCTTTTTGGTCGAACTGCATCAGATTTAGGAGAGGTCCAAAACAGGATTTTTCAAATCACTTTCCTCTTCTCAATGGTCACTGGAGTGACTAAACTGTCATCACAAGCGAAAGTGCGTCTGATCGATCTGTCCACACTAATGACATATCGCAGATATAAATGTCCTATTTTGTTGGTTGTTTCATCAGTGACTATTCTAAGACCGCTATGAGAGGGAGAGGGCACAGTGAGCAGACAGCGAGACTGGGTGACAAAAAATGATCAGTATTTTCGATGAAACTTTTATGAGCAAAGCATTTTTAATAGAGAGTAAATATTCATTTTGAAGCGCCCTCAATATTTCTTAGAATTGGTGGTTAAAGACAGAGATGCACAAGTCAGCTATTTTTTCACTCAAGTCAAGTCAAGTCATTTGTCAAAGAGAGCCAAGTCAAGTCAAGTCAAGTCAAGTCAAAGTCAAGTCGCAAGTCATTAAAAGAAATCCAAGTCAAGTCAAGCAAGTCAAAAATGACTTGACTTGACTTTAACTTAAGTCATTTTTGACTTGACTTGCCTATCTCTGGTTCAAGATCAATGATATCATGTGAATGAAAAGGATATATGATAGGTTCATATTTTGCTATCGAAACGATCACAGGATGCCGACTCAAAAAGTCAGGATGTGGCAGTTAGAAATAAGGAATGTTATTCGTCTGATTTGGTCGTGATAAAGTCACCGTCTCTCTTAGCCTACAACGGAATCGAAAAGGATAACTATATCTGGGCGTCATCCTGACTACCAAATTGGCGTGAAACAAGCTAAAAACAGAGATGAAAACAGAGCTTGGTTCTGACTGTGAGAATTCGTCTGAAATTTTATGGGTTCGTCCGTTTTCCATGATATCTTTTCCAGTTGGGGAGTTTTATTACGGCGGTTGTAATTAATAGAAGCTACATATTATTAGTACTATCATACCATACCATACCAAGAACGATTTCTCGCAACAAATTTAGGACTTTTAGCTGTCTGCAGAAATGCAAAAACACTTCCATCTAAAGCAAGGAATCATTTTCATTTCACAAAATCGAAAAATTCCACATAGAATTAAGTAATTCCGAATGTTCATTAATACACATTCTATTCAGAGCGAATAGATCTAAATACTTTTATCTAGGATGGGCTTATACTGGTAACATGAATTATGAACGAGAAGACCATACAGCATGCGTATTAATAGATGAAAAAGTGCTAGTTGCCGGTGGACGGAATGATGCTGGTTCTCTGAATACTGTTGAGCTGTATGATCCATCAACAGGATTTTGGACAATGACTGGTAGCATGAATATTGCACGAGCAGAACACGCAGCCTCCATGTTAACAAATGGAAAGGTGTTAGTTACTGGTGGAGAAAATGATATTGGTGATATTCTAAATAGTACTGAGCTATATGATCCATCAACAGCAACTTGGACAATGACTAGTAGTATGAATACTGCACGAAAAGAACACACAGCCTCCGTATTAACAAATGGAAAGATATTAGTTACTGGCGGATATAATGGTACAGATTATATAAAGAGTGTTGAGTTGTACGATCCATTAACAGACACTTGGACATATACTAGTGATATGAATTATCAACGAGCAGGGTATATCCAATCTGTCTTAACCAATGGAAAAGTATTAGTCGCTGGTGGATTAGATGATACGCATCTAAATAGTGCTGAGTTGTATAATCCATTAACACAAACTTGGACAATTACAAACAACATGACTCATGCTCGATGGACTCCTACAGCATCTGTATTAACAAATGAAAAAGTGTTAGTTGCTGGTGGACTAACTGATGATTATGTCTATAATGCAGAGTTGTATGATCCATCAACAGAAACGTGGACAACTACTGGTAGCATGAATATTAGTCGAGAAGATCACACAGCATCCATATTAACAAATGGGGATGTATTAGTTGCTGGTGGATTTAGTGGTGGTTATCTAACTGCTAGTGCTGAGTTGTATCATCCATCAACAGAAACTTGGATAACTGCGGGTGAGATGAATATTGGACGATTTGGTCACACAGCAACCGTATTAATAAATGGAAAGGTGCTAGTTGCTGGTGGAAGTAATGGTGGAATTTTGAATAGTACAGAACTATATGAATCATTTCAAATAAACTAACATTATGAATGTCGTTCGACCTTTCCCTAGTTTCACTCCTGTTCATGATTTCTTCAAGTTCTTGCTCAGATATTTTTCTAAGTTGAGAATACTGGATCCTATCAGAATTTACTCAAGGTCCTATCAAGAATCCTTTCAAGATTATGAGAGAAGATTTTCGTATCAGGATCCTGTCAGAAGTGATAGCCATATCAGACGAAAATTTTGGAAAGAAAATAAAAAGATCATTCAGAATACGAAACTGGCTAATCCGGCAAAGCTTCAAACAGGATCTTGTTGAGAACTTTTCAAGAACATGTGTTTCCAGACTTGGCAAGACAAAATCAATCCTAATCGTAGGATTTTGATAAGAAAATGTAAGAATATAGCAGAGATCTTTACAGGGTACTGTTTATACAACTGAGCCATGTCCATTTCCTGAGACAGTCTTGAATGATCTTTGAAAATCATCATAAATCTCAAAAATCTTGTTAGTTTTGACTCAGGATTCGATCCAAGATTTGTTCAAGTTCTTTCTCGGATTTTTTTCTGAATTGAGTTTGTAGGACCTTACTAAGATTCACTGTTCGTCCGTGCAGGATCCTGATAAAAATCGTGGAGACAATTTCGTCAAGATTTCATTAGATTTGAGTCAATACTTGTTCGAAATTCTGATACGAAGATCCTACCAAGGGTTATAGTTATATCAGAGAAGGATCATACCAGAAATAAAACAAAATTAGTCAGAATCTTCAACTAAGAACTTCTGCCCAACTTCGATCAGGTTCCTAAGCGGAACTGTTCAGGATTAGGCATTTCGAATGCTTAAAAAAATACAAGTATGATCAGGATCTTAGCATACATGTAATAATTGAAACTTGAATTCAACTATTCAATTATTGAATAGTTGAACTAAGTGATTGGGTCAGATGCAAAATTAAGTTCTGCACAAAGTGGTGATATTTTCGAAGCGAGTCATAGAACAAAAACCGAGCTTTTGAACTTAAATATTATTAGAAGCTTCTCGCCGTTTAGTCTTCGTAGTTTCACCACTTTGCCGTACGACGTTTGTCCACTTTTTATCCGATTTTGCCAGATTTACAATTTTCAAAGCGCCTATAAGTTTCAAAATGATTTTTGACCAAGCACCAGCATATATATTTAGGTTGGGATAGAACGATTTTCTATGTACAATTGTGTATATTTTATCTTGTTTTATTGCATATCATGGGGAAAAACTGAATGAGAAAATTGACATTTTTTAACGCGGATTTTCCTACAGTAAAATCAGAATTTTGTATAGCTAAGCCAAAAGATAACTGAGAATTGATCCACAGCAGAATTTAATAATGTGTACACCATTGGATCGAGTCGACAAAAATACATTTGAATGACATTTCTTAACTCGTTCAGATCGTAGTTCAAAACTTTCGGCACGATAAGGTGTTTTGACATTCCGGTTCGAACGAATGTCAAGTATATTTACCAAAGACCAACGTAAGCAGCTGACTTAAAAACTCGAAAGAAATGGTATATTTTAACGCTATAATCAGTTTAAAAGTATTTAGAGGTACTTTGAAGTGGATAGAAGTGCTATCAACTAACTGGGAATTGCTTTAAGTACAAAGTGCACCGTTTTCCTCCAGTTTAAAAAGCATGAATTTAACAAGATCTAAATTCCTTTTTCTCTAAGCTGTTTATTTGTAGGAAATGATATATTCTTGCTACTGATCTATCTTATTGTTTGAGGAAAATACCACTATTACAAATTTTATCAAACTCTTAGTGTCTGATTAATTGTATTGTTTAAAGAACACTCTTGATGTCCATGCTTTAGTTTTTGTCTTGCGCTAAAATAGTATCTGTTTTTTTTTCGTCGTAAAAGATGAAAAAAGTCAAATAAACTCGTTGAACAATTATTTATTGAACATAAAACGATTGAAATTAAAAACTACCATTCAGAGTATCAAAAATATTGACTTTTCTGGAGGACATAATAGAAGATTCCAGATCTGCTAATATGTCGACGGCTTTACTCCAGTAAAATTCAGTGTAATCGACTGCCTTCTTGCACAGAGAGAATAAAAACCAATTGTTTTTCTGCTTTCTCACTCTTCGTATGAGAAATAGATTTGTTTTTTGCCTAGAGAAGGCTTGGCCGACACCTTAATGGTTTTTTGTTCTTCAATCAACATTCAAATGACAAAAGTGTAAGGTTGTCGTGCCGCCAGCAACATTCAATTGTCAGATGTTTTTAATAAGCAAGAAACATGAGAGTCCCATTTGGCAGTATTGGATATTTCCGGTACGTAACTCATGGAAGAATTGATGTTGGTAACAGTATCTTTCGAGAACCAAGGATTCTGTTTGTTTTTTGTGAGAATTCTGTTATTTTTGAAAACACTATCAGAACACATGTTTTAGTTTTGTCTATTAATTGTGACTCGTACAAACAGAAAAGTGTTTGTTCAAATACTCAAGAGATATAAATATTGAGTGAATAAACGGTTTTGTTGCATCAGAACGATCAGTTGCGCTAGATAGTGGATCTCTTCAAAGGAATCATCACGCTGAAAAGTAGACACTACTGTCTATTTTATGTGTTTCTGTCAAAGCTAGCAGTCCGTAACTCTATAGCATCGCAACGGTTAGCTGCTTTTTGATTGATCTACATTGTATCATCTTCGCTTATTCCACAAAAGATCTTGATGTAAAAAGCTTATACGTAGTATTCAAAGTGTGTTTTTGAATTATCAAATGGAGCTTGTGTTTCTTTTTGCTGTGAAAAAGCTACAAAGCACAACATTTGGTTGTTAAAACTTGCATTATTGGTATTTTTAAGGAGATTTAAGATAAAAGAATAGTACGATCGGATAGGACGCTGGAGTATTTGATCAGTCAAAGGTATTTTTTATACAAGTGGTGCTCTTCTACTATAAAGATGTAGTCTACTGTCATCGGAGAAAGGAAGCTTTATCAGCTTGCCGGATATAGCTTTAAAATTTTGATCGTTGATGCTGTGTAAGATAAAGGATGACTCTGATCAGTTGTCTTCTACATCGAATAGGTACAGTAATGACATGAAACGACTTGTGGGTACTTCCACGCAGCTCCTCCCAGATTTACATCGACTTTCAGCCGGCAAATTTTAAGTATATTAGTCTTGTAGCACTCGTCGAGTTGTGTAGGAATTGATAGTTAGTTTTGTTTCAAATCATGCGCTAACTGCAGCAGAGCAAGCCCAAAAGTCGATTTTATCGAAAAACGGCCCCCGGAATCTGTCTCTTTTATTCTTCGTGAACGTTCTTTGGAAATTTTGATTAAACCATTGGATAGAGCATAAAAAGTTATCTTTGTAAAAAAATTTTCAGAACTGTATCTCTAGAACTCATTGTTGGGGAGCATTTGCAAAATTTGGAAAAATAATACTTTATGCTTAAATTGAACTGCCTATAAAATTTATATAACTGGTTAGAGACCCTAACATATTAGGATCAAAATGAAGCTTACACTATGTTGATTCAAACATAGTGTGTCAAAGTTCTTCAAAATACTCTACACTCTAGATATATAGATCTAAAGGGGCCAGGGATCTTGAAAAACCCTATATTGGGACCAGGTTTTCTCGAAAACTACACGTCAGAATTTCTTGAAATTTTTTTCTGAATAGACCTAAGTGGCCACTACTAGTGATCAAAATATCAGACCTCGCCTTTCAGAATTGTGGAAGGTAGAGCTTTTCCAAGTTAGCCCAAATTTCAGTGTTTTTGAAGGGTGTGGGTGTGGGTGTGAAATTATCTATTCATTATTACACACCCACACCCTATTTTAGTACTTTTAAATGTAACAATATATAACAAAATATTTTCAAAAATGTTACTAGTAGTCACTCTGAACTTTGAAATGATGACATATTATGATTATTGTTTGCTTGGAAGTTTCCTTATATACTTAACTGTAATCATTCATTGTCTATGACTCATACTGAAATATTTTTCAATTTTAAGCATATCAAACGATTTCTTTAGCACTGTTCGACATTTGTTTGCTCGATTTTGCAGCAGTGGGCAACAAATCGATCGGTGAGACAAATGCTCATTTAGAGCGGAAAAATGCCCTCCACGTCAAAAATGAATTTTTTTCCATTCTGTTCATATAGGACGACCGTCATATATATATATGCGTATGCGTCCATATTTCATTCCTATCTCATTCTTCCATGAATACCATTCAGAAAAGGAATACGTGCCAACACACACCCCCCCCCCCCCCCCCCCCCCCCCATAGACTCTAAAATTTACGTCATATCATATATACCTATTCACATATCTAACACTTTTCTTATAGAAAGACGCTCAAGTCAAAAATGTTATTTTATGCATGATGATATACATTAAGTTGTTACACGAAAAAGAGACCTATCTGTACTATACATACATAGTGAATGCAAAAATGAAAAGGCAGCAGAAAAATGACTTCAACTTATAGGAATAATGCTCGAACAGGAACGAAAAATGTCGATCATATATATCTATATATAAATATTTTTAGTGTAAAGGAAAATGCAAAGACAACGGGAAAATGCTTTACTACAAAGGAAAAATGATTTCAAATAATAGTGAGAAGAACGTCAAAGGGAAAACGAATATGCCTCATCGAAAGATATGTTCAAAGTTTATTATAAAGTCAACTGTTTCAATAATCGGGGAGAGAAGGAAGTTGAACTTTTCGTTATACAGAATAATTTGATTTTGTTGTTTTTCTTATTGTTGTTTCTCTATTGTATAGTGAACAGCGATGAATGAACTTCAATTTGATTGGTGATTCAAAATTGTTTTTCTTTTTGACTGGTCGGTATTTGGAGATTTTTGAATATTTTTCACCTTACAGAAACACGAGAGAGAAGAAAGAGAATATTTGTCTTTCACGTTCGAATTGACTTCTTATCTATTAAAAATGTTTGGTCGATTTCAATCGAATTTTTCTCCAGCTTGTCAGTTGAAAATTACTTCAATCGAATA